TGTGTGTGTGTGTGTGTGTGTGTGTGTGTGTATGTGTGTTTGTGTTAGTGTTTGTGTGTGTGCGTGTGTGTGTATGTGTGTTTGAGTAAGAGAGAGATAGAGAGAGGGGGGGGGGTCGTGACAGAACGACAGAGGGAGAAAGACAGCGACTGACAATTAAAGAGAGAAATGAAGAGAGAAAGTGTGAGAGACGGCGAGAGATAGGTGGAGAGATAGAGGGGGGGATGAAGAGACAGAGAGATGGGGGAGGGGGTGGGAGGCGGCGAGAGGGAGAGAGAGAGGGGAGAGTCGATGGAAGAGCCTTCAACAGTCCTTGAGTGTGAAAATCGGAATGCCTGTATCTATCAAGAGCAGAGGCGTATTCTCTCGCCGTACGGTATATATGGCGACTATTCGAGTCCAAAGGGCACCTCTGTGGCCGAGATTCGCGGCTTCTCCTCCCACTTCAAAGCAATCGGAAATAACAGAACCTTTTTTGTACTACGTGCAAGCCAAAAGATTTCAATCCGTAAGAACAACGCAAGGACATTATGCACTTCCAGCACAATGTTGAAGCATTCCAAACCTATTATTATTTTAACACGTGAACTCCTCACAGATGATGGCGAGTCCAGGAGTAACATGGAACGGAACGGGGAACCAGGTTAAGTTGGGTTACATTTTGTTTCCTTGGTTGTTAATAATTTAGGTGTCTGTCTGATGCTCCAATCGATCATTTATGAGGCGGGCTTTGACCCTACCTGTCAGGGCCAACCCAGATAGTGAAGGATACAACGTTACAGCAGAGAGACGGCGATACTAGATAAACATTCTCGCCGCACGGGAATCGAACTCGGGTCTCCTGCGTGCGACGGCTAAGCGCCTTACCACTACACCACACAATCCGGTACGTTGATTTATACGGCTCCTTCAACACAGTTTGGGAAACTCCAACAAAACAATGCTCGTCTCCGAAAGGAGGCGGAGGTACGGTGCGAGTCTTTAATAAAAGTCACAGAGCAGCCTGAGCTCACAGAGAGCAGGTCCGACAGCTGGACGTATCCCACGCCAGCATCCAATGGCCAGTGGCAATGGAACAATCACAACCGGAACAGCAACTCGAGTGAAACTTTTTTTTTTTTTTTTCCAGGAATAAGGAAACTACCTACAACTGCACACACAGCCTTCCTCCTAGGCAAACTTCTTCACATACTACCATGCAGACGGTACATGCAAACTGAAAGAGAAGAAAAATGAAGCCGGAAATTAGCCACAATACTCTAGAATATAAATTTTCAAAATAGTTTAACGTAATATACAATTGCAAATAATAATATATTATTCTAAAAGGAACAAATAATATATACCTGGTAAAAATCAAATCTAAGCTAAGGTGCTAGAGGAGGTTTTCTTGATTTCAAGGAAAGCACTGACTGAATGTAGCGATGGTTTAAAAACGTATTTTTTGAAAGGGGAAAAACTATGAATGGAACACATTAAAAACAGTTTTTACGTGAAAGGTTATTTTAAAGGCCAGCAGACAAAACACACGAACATAACCAGTAAGAGACGTTACTTTTAAGTCTGTTACGATTTTTGTCAATCCTACAAGGGGTAAAGAAATGTCTAAGGGGGGAGGCCACTTAATTTCTATTGTTCAGCGAAATATAAGAAACCAATTATAAGACTGGAAACAGGGCTGGTGATCAGAATTTTAAATCGGCTTCTTTTCTTGGAACAATAAAATCCTGAACGTTTCTAGAGATGAATCGCATCTATCATAAATCAAATATAAAATGCTGGGGGTGTTTTTGTTCTTTTGTTTGTTTTTAGGGAACGGAAAAGTGATAAGCTTTTTACAACAGCAGAGAAAACACACACACAGAGATCAAGAAAATAACGGGAAGACAGTAGTGCTCAAAATGAAATAAAGCAGTTTTACTTACATCAACACACACTATGAGCTCCAGTCCACGCTGACAAGAACGGGAGTGGTGAAGAAGCAGGAACAAGCAGCTCAGTCAACAACACACATTTCTGGAACTTTCTTATTTTCTTAAAAGAAAGAGCACTTCCGCATGCATCTTTACTGAGCAAAAAAAAATTAAAAAATGACGAGCTTTAATTCCTTGCCCAAATGACAAGTTGCCATGAACACTGTTCGAACGAGTTTTCCAATATTTTCGCTTCTCGCGGTACCTCTCGAGAAGCAAAGCAATGCCATAACTCTTGCGTAGGAAATAGTTTAACCTTTGCACCACAAACGCCGGGGTAAAAGTCAACTCACTGCTTTGGGTTTTACAATGTACACAAGCTGTTGTTAAGACCGACAAGTCCACCTTCTGAGATGAATGTTTTTTCAAAAGCATGCGAAAAAAATGAAATATCAAATAAACAAAACATGCAATCACAACAGGAACACGACAGGAATGTACAAATTCGACATAAAAAGCAAACAACAAAAAATCGTTACCTACACAAAGTACTATCGGTAATTAATAGCCAAAATAGTATTTTTAAAAACTGTTTCTTTAAAAAATGCATCATCATCCATTATTAATCAGGGTATTTCTAAACAAGGAAATAACTAGTTTCTTTGTAATTACATAAATATGCACATTTACCCATTTGTAGAATGGGTGAGGGAGGGGGTGGTGGAGGGTTTGAGGGAGGGGAGGGCCGACAGACAAGCGATACATAAAAAAAGAAGAAAAAACCTTTCCTTCCCCGAGCAAATTAATGGCTGAAGAAACCTAGACAAGAACGCTGGCAAATCATCACTTCAAATACAGCAGACAGAGAAAGGCAATATTTAAAGATAGACAGGGTGACAACGCGTCTGCTACATAAGTAAGTACACCTTCAATGACGTGTCCCTAGTGACATGACAGTAATTTGCTAACACATTGAAAATACTGCAACAGAACAAAGGCGAAGGGGCGGGTACTCATAAAACAGTTTCTCACAAAGATACTCAGACATTAATACTACAATCAGAAGAAAGGGAAACCTTAATAGCTTCCAGAATACGCAAAAGAAGCATTATTATATTGAGGTGGGTTTTGTTAACGTTGGTTTGTGAATGTATAACGTTACTTTCTTCCAAAAGAATTGGCATGTGGTTTTGGGGTACGATTTCAAAAGGCTACAATCACAAGAATTAAAATCAGAAGGCTACATACACAAAAATTAAAAGTTTTGGTTCTAAAAGCAGCATACGATGGCGCAGCTTATACGTCACACAAAAAATACTCACATAGACGTTTTAAACATATTATTTTACTCAAGCTTTCAGGGGGCCATGACAAAGCCGAACATGTTTAACTAAAAGTATCCAAAAATAAAATAAACGATAAACAGATTAAAATGTAGCAAATAGAAGTGATGAGATGACGTTGATCATGCAACACATCCAGGGTAACAATGGGCAAACAGTGAGACGAAGGAACGACGAATAAGCAGAAGAGAGAAAAAAAAACAACAACCCAATAATCAACAACCATAATATTATTATATAAAGTATATCTCCTAAAGGACAAGAATGGGCAACAGAAAAGGAAGGGTGCATTCCACGAAAGAGCAAAGGTCAAAGTGAACATGAAATAAGGGAAAAGAAAGCTGAATCAACACGATGAAAAATCAATGAAATAAAATGTTATTGTAAGGAAAGGCGCCCAAAAGACAGCAGCAAACTGAGACTGCTCATTTGAAAGACCCAATTCTTTGTTTGCACCAAAACATGGGAGCCAATCAGGTGAAATAGTTTAACAGGGATTTGACGTAGTAAAACTTATACTTGCAGTCAGACACTCGTGCAATGGCGAGCGTAATTCTGTTACCCCCTGCTCCTTTACACCAAGTTTCGTTTCCACACTAAGTCAATCTGATATTTCCTTGCTGTAGTCAACAACAACAATAAACAACAAAGGCAAAAACAATAACAACAACAATAACAACAACAACAATGAAAAAAATGGTTTCGATTTTTATTAAAGTTAACGCTGACTCTATTTTTAACCCAATCAAAAAATTACAACTAACTCGGAGTCTGCAGTCTCAGATTACGGAAGCTTTGGGGAGGAAAGGGCGTCTCGAAAGAACAACGAAAAAGTCGTGTCCTTCAATCACAGACAAGCAGTACAGAAGCAAAGTAGTTGTCGTGATGAAGACAATAACGATAACAATGATAACAACAACAATAATAATAACAACAACAACAGTAATGAATCACAGTATGTAGACTACATTCTACTCACTTCTCGGTTTCTCGGGGGCGGGTTTCTGCAGACCGCGTATGGGGATGTCCCCTCCATGCTGGATCTGTTTGTAGAGTTGGGAGATGGGCTGCTCAGCCTCTCCACCGTCCGCAGCCGCACGCACGTCAGGCTCTGAGCCGTGGTAGTTCTCGGAGCTGTGGAAGGAGGGAGGGACAGACACGATCAAAACCGGCGTTGGAGATTTGAGTACGAGCGTAAACGAAGACATACACGAGGCAAAAGTCATAAATTGGTTTGAGAAAGAAATCTGGCGGCACATGTTACTCAATTAGGTCATGTATATAAATATATATATATATATATATATATATATATATATATATATATATATATATATATATATATATATATATATATATAGGCCTATAGTATATACAATATAATATATAACGTATTATATTATATATTATATATATAAGTGCCGAGGTGTTACTAATGAGTAACATACAAAGAAAAGAAGGCTTAGTTTTAGTACGAGTTTAACGACATGTGTAACACAGATAGGTCGTGCAGGCCCCGAAGATCAAAGAAGTTACCAGAGAGTAACAAAGAAATGAGGGAGAAGAGCAGAGAGAGAGAGAGAGAGAGAAAGAGAGAGAGAGAGAGAGAGAGAGAGAGAGAGAGAGAGAGAGATGAGAGAGAGAGAGAGAGATGAAAGAGAGAGAGAGAGAGAGATGAAAGAGAGAGAGAGAGATGAGAGAGAGAGAGAGAGAGAGAGAGAGAGAGAGAGAGAGAGAGAGAGAGAGAGAGAGAGAAGGCAAACAAACAACACACACACATATTATACGCGCATACTCTCTCACCATCCCTCTTCCAAACACAGAACTACATAATAACAGTGACCTGTTTGTGCTGCATGTGGAAAGGAGTTCAGCAAAATCATTCTGTCTCTTTAGCGAACGGGTGAAAAGGGTGAAATGGTATGGGTTTAACGCCCCTATCAACACTATTAGTTTATTTAAGGGGCGGGACCTCCTAGTTTAACGTCCGTCTCCGATAGGACCGTAGCGAACGGAAAAGACGCAGCGACACATTTATATTGTTCTTTTAGTGCTAGGGAGGGGAAAAGGAGGGATAGAAACGAGAGAAGGACGAAGGGCCTTCTTGGGGGCCGATAGGCACACTGAACAAAACAACAGAAGAGTGCAAAGCAACAAAACGATCCACCAACAACAGAGGCATGTATAACGCAGGGAGATGACGTTGGACTCAGAATGTTCCTCAACCGGCAATGAACCCCCCCCCCACCCCCACCCCACCCCACCCCACCAAAAAATAAATAAAATAAACATAAATTAATAATAATAAATAAATAAATAAATATATTAAAAATTATGCAAATAAATTAATCATTTTTACGTACGCGCGTTCCTTCATTCAAGCAAACCGTCACGTACGTCCCCTTCCGAACGCATGCAAACCAAGGGACGGACGAATAAAATAAAAGACACACTCAGGTCAGGCTGATTCACAAACCCGCGAAACATTTGTGAGGCAGCGTGGTGAAATCAGGCGCTCATCAAAATAATGAAAGTGAAGAAACTTATACTTTTCCGCTTGTTTGGTAATTTTTATCGAAACTGTGTTTTTTAGCTGAACACCTTCTAGGTCCACTTAAGAACACATTTCAGTGTGATAACGAAAAACGTTCATTACAGGTAAAAACAAAAGAATGTCAAAATGTCAGTTTCCATAGACTCTGGAAGCTTGGTAAATAACAAAAATTTGGCTGCAATTTTCTGATTAATTTTACCTCTGAAACCAAGCGATCCCAACAAATTCAATCGCAAACACCTCCACATATACTCAAGATAAATGGGTAATTCTTTCATCGCAAGCAAGACAAATGAACAAATTTAAGGTGATACCAAAAACTTCACATGCCCCAAAAATTGGCGAGCGCCTGATTCCACCGCGTCGTGACACATTTTTCTTTCCCTCACGCTTCCAACGCAACGCGCCCAGGCTGACACTTAATTCCGCCAGGTTGTATTGTACCCTCACGCACAAGCCGCGCTGGACACTGGTCAGTAGAAAGCCTTGATCCGCCCTATCTATCACAATCACAGGGCAGGACGACGCCCAATACGTAACGCCCTCAATTTGTCTTCCACCTCACACTACCCCCCCCCCAACCCACATCATCCTACCACTCAAAACCTCCCACAACCTTCCACCATCACAGCACGGGGGTCGGTGTCTGCTTGTTACTGAGGCCTGTTCTGCTATCGATCATGTTATAACTTGTTTTGTTTGTTTGTTTGCTTGTTTGTTTTCATAAGAGTTTTACGACACTTGCAACATAATGAGGCCAATATAAGTGCCGGCGATTAGAGTGTTACAAGGGGGGGATAACAAACTCAAACAAGAAGGGGGGAGAGATAAGGACGACAGCCGATAAATTCTAGATTGGAAAGAACGAGCAAGAAACCACTTTAAAGCATCCACCAACCTCCCACTTAGCAGCTTTCATAATTTTATTACAACCGTTTCGCAACTAGTCCGCGTCGTGGTTTAACTTGAAGCATGGACGTCCATTAGTAGAGTGAGCATTTTGAAAAAAAAACCCACAACAATAACAACAACAAAACCCACACTAACTATACGATTATAGGACAAAGATTTTCCCAATAAATGTCCCTGAGTCTCTCTCTCTCTCTCTCTCTCTCTCTCTC